ACGCTAACTGCTGGTCCCGGTATTTACAATTTTTAAAAGTACAGTTGAAAACACACAGTAGTTTTTTTGTTGTTATTGGAACAGAGATTTTTGCTTTTGGACCTTAAGTCTAAGCAGATGTTTGATGGATAATTTTCCATTCTAATCAATATCATTAAAACGAAGGCCATGAGGAATTAAGTGCAAATGGACACCAGAAATGAGAGAGCATCAACTTGAAAAAATATCCTTCGAAAGATTTGGGTTTGGTATAGAATACTCAGCAAACTATTATCTATCTACATAAGGCATTGAATAAAAAGGAAAACAATCGGGACCAGCAGATGGCGTAATGGTTATGTCACTGTATTCCCAGGTAGTCGACCACAGGATTGTGGCAGAATGAAGCCCTGTCACAAAGACCTATCTCCGTCTTTTTCCTTTCCCTCTATATTTCCCTTTTGCTATCTCTCATAAAGAAAAAGAAAATAGTGTCAAGTTATTCAGAGAAGTGAAGGAATTTGAGGACAGAGCCAAGGCCATCGGAGTTGGTATCTAAGGTGTCGCTAGAGCAGTAGCATAGGGAAGGTAAAAGGCAGGTAAAGGGTTAAGAGATCAGTGTGTGGAGGGTGTGAGCACGCTGAGGGGAGACTACCTTCTGAAACCTCTGGAGGCAAATGAAAAAAAGGGGCTCTGTAACAAGTCAGCAGACTCATGACAAGGTCAAGGAAGTTCCCTGTGTTTGTGCTGAGTACAGGGGGCACAAAGATATGTAGCCTGTCCCCATCCTCTAGTAGTTACGGTCTAGAGAGGAAGACGAAGCAAACAGGTACATACAACTCATCAACAATCAGATCTGCACAGAATTATGAGAAAACAAAGGAGGCACCTCCAACCCAATCTGAGAGTGCAAGGAGGATGTTTCCTAGATGGTGGTGCCTGATCAGAGTCTAAAGAATGAGAAGGCATCGAGCCAGAAGGAAAGAGCATTCTGGTAGATCTGGACAACTTGAACAAATGCACAGAATAGCTGGTACACTGCAGAGTGAAGTGTAAGGAAGGCTAGGAGTGTCAGGGTACCACAGTTCCCAATCAGTGCATGAAATTATCCACTGGGGACGCTGGCAAGGCAAACAAGGCAAAGGCATGGAGGCAGGGTGCCCAAGACCTGACCAAAATAAGACACCATGGGCTACAGGTGAGACACCAGCAGGGAGCCGGTGGACTGAGAGACAAGGGAGACTGAGGTACAGATATCACAACAGAGTGGGAGACACAGACTTCCAGGTGAATGATAGAATGATATATTCCAGTGGGAGAGCCTGGAGTCAGGGTTCTTCAAAGTGAAGCAGATGGAGTAGCAGTAATGGTCACTGAAGTAAAAAGACAAAGGAGTCTCAAAGCCAACCTAGGACAACAAAGTGAAGTAACAAGGGCCATGCTGAGAGTGAGCGTGGGAAGCTTATAAACCAGAAGTGCAGTTATCACCAAAGATGGTGGAAAGAACAGGAATAATGCAGCCAAGAGCCATGAAACCACGCCCTGACGACCTCACAGGCTTGGACAAGTCAAGTACCTCTCCCAATCTCCCCTTCTGAGTCTTGACTAAATGGTCATTTAGATTCCTAAGGAAGAGTTGGTGGTGCAGTGAATGTGTGTTTAATTATAGATGGGAAGATTTTAGATTCCTAACATACTGGACAACTTTCCTATGTAGAAATGATAGCTCTGGGACCAGTAGGTAGCATAATGGTTATGTCACTGGACTCCCATGTAGTCGACCGCGGTTCAAGTCCCGGACCCAGTGGCTTGAACTCACACCGGGCACGTGTGCATGCATGCCCAAGATCCCGAGAAGAGAATTGCGGTGTGGCTAACCCCCCTGGGGGGGAGGGGGGGTGATTTCTCGCTTTCTATCTCTCTCTGTCTTTCTGGCAAGCACATGCACCCTATAGTGAAAAACCTCTAAAAAAAAAAAAAAGAAAGAAAGAAAAGAAAGGAAGAAAGGGAGAGAGAGAGAAAGAAAGAGAGAGAGAGAGAGAGAGAGAGAAAGGAAGGAAGGAAGGAAGGAAGGAAGGAAGGAAGGAAGGAAGGAAGGAAGGAAGGAAGGATAGTTTTAAGGCTAAGAAGAGGGAACACATGCATTTCATGGAATAACTGATTTTTTTTGTACTTCCTATCAGAATTTACAAATTTTACATTAGTAACTTTTTTATATGGGACCTGAAATTTTACAAAGCTCTTTTGCATATATTTTCTCATATAATCCTGACTACCTCCCTGTGGGAGCTCTATAATTCCCATTTCCTGGATGAATACATTGAGATTCCACAGGCTAAAGAAACTATTGTAACTTTGGACTGGTAAAGTAAACTTTTTTTCTCCTAATATAGAGATTATACATCACATGCTTCACTGAGATAACCCACGACTTGTTAACTTCTGGGTTTTGAAAATTCAATCCTCCAGCAAGTAATAGAGTACCCACCAACTATCCCAAAGCCAAAAACGGCATTCCAGGCATCAGCAGATTACCTGATCACTGAAATGAACCCAGTAGACTTTCCAAACTTTATTAAAGTTTCATAAAGCTGAAAAAAAGCTTTATTAATGAAAGCAAAGCAAATCCAAATAAGTCTTCATGTAGTCTTACCCATACTATTCTGTATAGCATACAATTTAAAAAAAATCTTAATTTAATCCATCTACATTATGCAATTGCTATAAGTGAGACTGAGTCAGACCAGTGATTTTGTTTTCCTAGTAATGATTCTTTTCTCATTGGTCACTCCAGGTAGTACCCAGGTGTCAGATAACTAATTATAACACTCACTTCTTACCAACTACATACTAACATGAGCAATCAAGAAAGCAAAAACATTGAAGAAATGGACTTCCACTATTTATTATCTTTTTTTGTTAATTCAGTCATTAAAAGTTCATTTTACCTAAAAAGGATATTATTTATTTCCTTGGTGATTACAAAAATCTCTTATTTTCTAAACTAGTGACAGCAGCTTCTTTTCTGAAAAACATAGATCTGGTTTGGTTAAAGAAATTTGCAAGGTTCAACAGGTGGCATAGATGTTAAAGACCTGAACTCATACATGGCCAATTGCAGTTTGCATGCCCAAAAGGAAAAATGGAAGATAAGATATTGAGCATTCCCCATGAAGGGTGCTTTCTCACTTTCCTTTTCTCTCCCTCTCTGTCTATCTCCTTCCAGTGACCCCATGCACCCGCTGGAAAAATTTTAAAAATGAATAAATAAGTATTTAAATACATGGAGTCTCTAAAAAGGTTACAGAAAATGTTTATTATTAAAAACACTAATGGGCTAGGTAATGGTATTGTATTACATAATGGTAATGCAATAATGCAACTAGACTCACATGGAAAAGGTCCTGGGTTCATGTCCTAGGCCGTCCCTGAGCACGCTAGACCCACATGCTTGGCTTCTGTACAGGCCAGCTGAGAGTGGACTTGTATTGCATGAGGGGACTTTATTTGGGGTATCTGTCCTGACTCTCTCTTTGTCTCTCTCTCATGAAAGAAACAAACCTTCTTTTAAATGCATTTTTTTAAATGTTGACACCAAATAAACTTGTACTTTAATTCCATCTTCCCAAAAAAATCTGAAGTACTCGTGTATAGCTTTTCAAGTTAGACAAAATTGTATGCATGAATTCCTAGAATAATAGAGTATATTACATTATATATTATATGATTATTGACTAAAACTATTTATCTTTGGTATTATCCCAAGACCATTTAGCAATCTGTGCTCATTACAAAAACTTGCGAATTCATAAATATACAATATATTCTACATAAAATTCTCTATTAGACTCTTATACCTAAATTTAATAAAAATCAATCAAATCAAAGATAATCACCCAGTAATTTATACATACAACATACACTGTGCTATATAAAGACAGTAACATTTTATCTAGCAAAAAGAACAAAATACCTGATCACTAGAATTTAGTGGCTATGTGGGGCCTAGTAGGTAGTGCAGTGGTTAAGACGTTGAACTCCCACATGGTTGACTATGGCTCAAATCCTGATCCTGGTGGCTTAAAATTCACATTGGCACACATACACATGTGCTCAAAATCCCAGGAAGAGAATAGACACAAGAGATTATAGTGTGGCCATCCCCTCTGGGAGGTGATTTCTCACTTTCCCTCTCACTTGTTTCTCTGTCTCTCCCTGGCGAGCACACACACTCTATGGCCAAAAAAAAAAAAAGAATTTAGTTGTTATCTATAAGAGCATGCTTTATAGTATCTGCCTTACAAATTGAAAATATAAGATCTTCATTTAGAAATTGGAGGGAAAAAAATAAACATTACTTTCCAAGTGATTAAATAAGTTAATTAAAACTAGGAATATATTGAACGGATGTCAGTTTTTCTTATATCCTCATTATTTAAAGGGGGGGGGGGGGCACATGCCAAAATCCATGTATAAGTACAGAAAATGAAACTCATCCCTCATGTGAGGAAACATAAATATTGAACATATGACCCAAATTCTGTCATATCTGGTAAAATCCATGCTTTCTCACTGCTAGCTCACAAAACTTCGATCTCGACCAGAAATGGTTGTACTTCAGAGCCCTAGGTCTGACGAGCCCTGTCATCATCTGATAATAGTGTCTACACGCAGATCTGAAGGCTTCCGAAAAATTATCCTAGGAGGGAATTTGATAGACTCATGACAACAGCCTAAAAGGATTTGTTCATTCTTTCTTAGATCACAATTGCAGCAACTTTATCCAGCTCATATTGCAATTCATCCTGAAAAATGAAAGAGGTTAACATGTCCTTTTGTGGTGTAATTGGGGGTTCAATTTCAACTTCTATGTGAACTACTCATAAAAATTTCCAAAGACAGGACTACCTGGAAAACAATGTGTGTGTGTGTGTGTGTGTGTGTGTGTAGCACTCCCATTGGATAGATTCCACAGTTCAAACATTTTACTACCAACATATAAACATCACTACAATACTCACTTTTAGTTTCTTGTTTAGTTTACAGCAGTATCTGTACACCATTGCCAAGTTCAGAGGTCCAAAATCTGCATAGAAACTGAAATATAAGAAAAACAAAGGATGTCATCTTTAGTAGATAAAACGTTCAAAAACATCAATGTTCATGTTTAACTTTACTAAATTTACAGCCAAATTTTAGTTATTTTTCAAGAATAAGGGTTATTACATAAGTTATCTACTTCATGGTAATCTAAATAACTAATGGCTTCCACCCAACTAATATCTTCCATTTATTTGGGCCAGTCTCTTAAGAGGGAATTAGTTGGACAATTTAAATGAGTTTTTATTATTAAGTATGTATTTGTATCTTCCATGAGAGAGAGAGAAAGACAGAGAGATAAAGACAAGTACCCTCGACAAGGTCTTAATGCCACAATCCACCCTCAGCCAGAGCCAGTCCAGATCACGGCACATGAATGTTTCCCAGCATGTATAAGGAGGCTTTGGGATGTAAACCCAGAACCTTCCCATATGGGTCCAGCCGCATTATCTCTGCACCATCTGACCACTCGTTAGACAGTTTAGAGTTTTGTCACCTTTTATCACCAAGTCACTTAAGTGAACATACTGAAAAGCAGGAAAGAACCAACATGAATATATTACATAGCCTATTCTGCAGCTTTTTTTATTACCTACCTGATCAAAAAGCTGTGCACTCAAGATTCCCATCCAACTGTTCCCTCAAACACTGATCTCAATTCTCAAGTATCTTAAATCCGGTGATCTTTTTTAGTTTTCATTCTCCTTGAGTTTTGTTATAAGATGTACTGGCTCCTCTCTCTCCCCCACCATCCCTTACACCTCTAAGATGTAGCTATCAGTCTGTAGATCTTCTCTTTTATTTACTGTCATGAGTTTAACTGAGAAGCCTCAGAAAAAAAAGATGTCTCCTCCTCTTAAGATCCAGCATCAGGCTTCTACTTGCTGGGCCTACCATCTCAGGCCCTTCTATCACCTAAAACTCAGAATGTCTAAAACTCAACCCAACTTTCCTTCGAATTAGCCCTCCAGACTGAAAATCACTGTGCTTCCAGTCACACAGGCATGACGCCTCTCGATCACAATAGGGCCACAGATAAATATTAACTTAATTCTTACATATCAAACGCCACCATTTTGATTTATCTCTTTCCTTTCTGTTCCCACTTTGGCAATGGAAGTCTAGCTCCTCTTCATCTCACACCTTTACTGTAAAAATTCTTTCTCCCCTTTCCAAGTATCCCATACCCCACTAGAGATTAATCTTCATGAAATCGCACTTCTTGCATATCCTCCCACTATTTGAAAATGCTGAATGGCTCCTTACTGTCTTCGAAATAATTTCCTGGTTCAGCAATCAAACTCTGTACAAATGCCCTAATCTCCTAGCTGACCTTCTCCTCTGGCAAGTCCTAAAGGTAAAACCGAAGGTGTTTTAGAACCTTTTGAGTAACATTTAATATTAAAATGTCCTGGTTGGGATGCAGCAAGACTGTTTCGATTCCAAGTTGCCCCTCTGCCTTGCTGTGGAATCTTGAGCAAATCGGCATCTTTCTGCCTACTTCTCATTCCCAAATACTCCACACATATTCCTAACCAAGCTGCTGCTCCCCTTGTGCTCCTGACCTGGAGGGCCCTCCATTTCTCTTCCTGCTCTACTCCAGCTTACTCACAATTTGGTTCAAATCCTCCCTTCTCCAAGAAGCCTTTTCAATCACCCTTAGGAAACACTAACCCAAAGTTCCCAACATTTGCCATCTGAGCCTCTCTTGTGGCCCACACACACACTGCCGTACACTGCAAAGCATGATAGGGTAGGAGAGCCTATCTTCTCAACGACGATGTAAGCCTCTGCTCAGGAACTGTGTCGTATATCTTATATGCTTAAAGAATACTTATTTATAATATAAAACCTCAACAAACGACCGTTCACTATGAATTGTTCGCTCATTAATGTTCCAAGTTCAATTAAGCCTAGAACTCAAGATTACTATATACCAACAAGTTGCCAAAAATTCATCCCATAAAAGACCCTTATTTTGAGGGAGTCATTTGACTTATTTTTTCTGCCACCCAAATGACACTATCATAAGGATGTCATATAAACTATGTCAGATCTGCTAATAGCCACTTGCCATACATAAGTAACGAATATTTAACTTGTATATTTTATCTATGCTAGGCAAGTTAGCAATATTTTAGGAGTTATACTGTAAGCAGCACCAAAATCAGTTGTCAGCACACAGACTTCATGAGATGAACACAGAGTTGCCAAAGAAAATGTGCAATGATTTGAAATAAAAGTTCTTGATTTATTTCTCTTTTTTTTAGAATTATTTTATTTAACGTTATTTATTTATTTATTTTAATTTGACCAGAGAGGGACAGAGTGAGAGAGAGGGGAAAAGTGAGAAAGCAAGCCACCAGGTCCGGGACTCGAATCGTGGTCAGCCATGTAGAAGTCCAGTACCCTAAACCACCACGCCACCTGCTGGCCCTCAATTTACTTCTAAAGTTCCAGTGTTGTGTTGTGCTGTAAAGAAACACAGGGACCAGCGGTTGGCATAATGGCTATGTCACTGGACTCCCATGTAGTCGACCGCAGACCCAGTGGCTTAAACTCACGCCAGGCGCATGTGTGTGCATGTCCAAGATCCCAAGAGGAGAATGGAGGAGAAGGGATTGCGACGTGGCCATCCCCCCCCCCAGGGGGGTTATTTCTCACTTTTTGTCTCTCTGTCTGTCTGTGTCTTTCTGGCACGTGCACATTCCCTGTAGTAAAAACCTCTCAAAAAGAAGAAGAAGAAGAAGAAGAAGAAGAAGAAGAAGAAGAAGAAGAAGAAGAAGAAAGAAACAGAAAATATCCATGAACCCAAAACGAATTATGTCTGTCCTGAGCTATCAATCACTATAAGACCAGACAAGAACCCACTCAAAAGAACCAAACTGGGGACCAGCAGTTGGCGTAATGGCTATGTCACTGGACTCCCACTTAGTCGACTGCGGTTCGAATCCCGGACCTGGGGGCTTAAAACTCACGCTGGGCGCGTGTGTGTGCAAGATCCTGAGAGGCGAATGGAGGAGAAGGGATTGCGGGATGGCCATCCCCACTAGGGAGTAATTTCTCACTTTCTGTCTCTCTGTCTCTCTCTGTCTGGCTGGCAAGCACACACGCCCTATAGCAAAAACCTCTCCCCAAAAAAAAAA